TTTATTTACTTAAACGCATAAACATTGGTACAAGGAGGCACCAAATAGATATGCACCATATAAATCATTCAATTTGTGTGAGGGCCGGTGTACTGTACGGGTGCCCAAACCGAAGCAGGTGGTTTTCTTAGGGAGACACACCCTGAGCCTTTGACCTTAAGGTCTAATCCACAAGACAACGGAACAACGTCAGCAGATGCAGCCCCATGGTAATCGATGACTAACAAATGGTTCGTAAGCCACTTGTTCCTTCAGAATACGAGAACTCATGCGCATTATTGGTTTGGAATCAAAGTTTTCCAACTCCCCTAAGTGGATTCTGAATACCCGCCAACCCAGTTGAATAGCTGAACATTCGCTTTTCGTCCTCTTAATTTGGTAAACACCAGTAATGCCGCGAGAATTCAGTAAGTAGTACTTCCCTGTTAGTGGTTGAATGCATGTGGCCATGGGAGAGTATTTCGAGAGGGAGAGGGCATTTAGGGACCTATTTATTGATATCAATTAAAAATCCATTAGACAATGATCAATAATTTCTTCCATAATCTAACGCCATAGATGAAAGTAACAATCATTGGCTGGTTCCAACTTGACAGCTGAATGCAATGCGGTTAAAACATAATCACAGAGCGTTAGTTTTTTCCATCTGTAACGTAGGTAGGAAGATAGCATGAATGAATCACAAGTACGTTTAGATATCTGTAACTGACTTTGTAGAACAAATACTCTAACCAATGTAACGTAAATTCTGTGTTCATTCCTTAATGATAGTAGATTTACTTCAATGAGTAATGTCAAGCATTTGTAAATCTACTTCCAAGACTTACCATAGATTATCTACAACCTATTAAATAATGAATTTAATACAGTACAACTTCATGTTGCTTCAATATATTGGTCACATTACAACTTCATCTGTTGTATACCGTCACCACTAAGAACTAAACACTGATTAATAATCAGTAACCGTTTAGTACAGGTAATTCGCTTTGACCGGATATGAGCCGGGGCCTGAAATGTAACTACTCTAACTGTTATAATGAGTGTATTTTGTTAAAATCTACAGGAAGTGCAAACTCCTTTAGGATTGCAAACGTATTTTTACTTATGAATGTCAACTAGTACAATAGGTACATATACAGACTCATTTTTTGTTGTTGATGGAATTACGTTCGTTGAACTAGATAGTTTAATTCCATGTCTTTAGTTATCATTTTGAATAGTAAAATCAATATGATATTGTCCAAAAAGATAAGTGAGCAATGATGGATAGTGGCTAACAGTGGAATCCAGGACGTGCGTCCCCGTCCTATTTGGGACTCATCAGCTGGATGTACCTGCATCACAGAGTTGATGTTCACTCTGCGATTTGAACCGAGTACCATTCGCTTCAAACGCCATCGCGTTATCCATTCAGCTTGTGCAATGGGGTGAATTTAAATTCACTTGGTATTGTTTGGCTTGTATCTTCCCATTGAGGTTTAACACTGCAATTGATCAGTCTGTTATTGGCATATGTGCATGCTGTGCGTATGCCTCGATATTGCATTAATTCACAAGCTATTTATAAGCAATGTTGAATAGTGACTAGCAGTCTTAAATCTCAATGGGAAGATACAAGTTAAACAATACCAAGATAATAAAGGTTTCTGGAATTCAATCATTTAGATTATAAAAGCGATCACCAACAAAATGATCCATCTAATCTGTAAAAAGGTTTTGAAGTGTCATGGTAACTACATTCAAATTATTCACTTCAGAACTTGGTAACTAACTATTATAAGTGATGATCCTTCATTTCATTTAGAATTTATCAATTAAACTATTTTCATCTGTTATGTCCCGATAAGTATAATGAATGGTAACTATTGAGAACTATTTATGTACCAATACGATACATATATTCTCTTATTGTATAACTATTCAGTAACTAAACTTTGCATATTCATGTCCCTACTATGTTAAGCTTTATTTTGATCCATAGATTTTTATTATTGTTATTATACGACTTACCATTCTTGAGTTATGTCCAGTCTGTTCATTACAGTGTCTTACATTCATAGCCACTTTAAGCTAGATCATATACAAATGTGTGTTTTCTAATTTATGGTACGTTGTGGTCTCTTTGGCTAATGTATATAAACCCAATACATGATTGATATCACAGAGGCTAAGATTGATGTTCTAGAATCAACAGGCAGGTAGGTAGGCAGGCAGGCAAGCAAGGCTGAGCAGGAAACAAGACTGATAAGGATTCTAGACTATTCATATAGGTTTAATACGTCATTAGTCCGATCGATAAATCACTATTCTCTATTTGACGATATCATGACATTCTATATATTGATTAAGGTACAAATCCACTAGTTATAACAATATCACTATTGAAAACTTATAGAAAAACATCATACTTCCTTAGAATACATTTTGATAGGTAACAAGAAATCAATATACGAGTACATTTTATTGATTTTTAAAAATCGATTTTATTTAATTAATTATCATCAAGTGAAATGATTCATTTATTGATTATTTAAGTATCCTCTATGAAAATCATTCATTAATCAATCATAAATAAATTGATTTATATGGGATACATTTTCATTGTTTATCTTTTTTGTTTTTCTTTTCTTTCTTTTTCTTTAATTAAATGATTGTGGATAAATAACAATCAGAGTGTAGTGTTGGTTATTATGTTAAGCCCATATACTTTATTCTCGTTTTCGGACAGTCCAATCTATTCATACTACTTGAGTTACATTTTGGCTTTGTTATTTATTCGCTTATCAGTCTAAAGGGGAGTTGGCTTACCCACCATCTCCACTGTACGTCGTTTCTCTTCTCTTTATTCTATTCACTTTATATACAAAATATGATGTATTCACAAGTCCATTCTCGTTATTTGACTTATCTAAATCCGTTATTGACTAACGCGATTTATGTCGATGATTATATACGAGGATAGACGACAACATATATATTTCAACAACAATCATCACTACGATCTCCTTGGAGTCAGATCTCGGGCCATTAAAGTGGAGAGCCTTTTCGACAACATCGTGCGATCTCAATGACGATTAAATAACGAGCCACCACAAAAAGAGTAAATGAACATTAAGATAATCAATCTAATAATGTTATTCACATAATTAAAATAAGAGAATCAATAGAATCATCCTATTAAAGATAAATTATTTATCATTTATTGATAGTAATAATTTGTCAGTGATCTATACTACTGATATTGATAGATTTAAGTAATATACTTGAGCTGTTTATATACACATAAAGTAGTATATGACGATAATCAGGAATAGAATGTATTTCAATAGAAGTTCAAGAAAGAAAGAAAGAAAGAACGAGGACAGAAAGTACTTGGTATAAAAATGTATGAACAATGAAATCTGAGACGATGGACTGATATTTTGCAAACTAAGTATGTACTTTATGAATTCACTTGGTATTGTTTGCTTATATCTTCCTATTGATGTTTAGGACTACAATTGATCAGTCTCTTTTTGGCATTATAGGCATAGTGTGCATAATCCCTCGATATTGCCCTAATTCACAACGATTATAAATAAAGATAGGTAGTAGCTAGCAGTGAAATCTAGGACGCGCGCTTCGTCCTATTTGCGACTCATCATCTGAGGTGAACGTCAACTCTGGAATGCATTTACGTCCAGCTGACAAGTCCCGAATAAGACGAAACGTGCGTCTTCGATTCGACTGCTAGTCACTACCTATATTTGCTTATATTTACAGTATGGTTCTCAGACTTTACTAAGACATTCTGTAATTTTTTATTCAAATACATTCGACTGTCCCCGTTTGTGTTCTCGTTTACTACAACATTATTATTAAATTATACGCTTGGGTAATAAGTAACAAAATACACACTTAACTTGAATAAACAAAGTTTTAAATAAATCTAATGTTACAATAATGAACAGTTGTTGTTTCTAGATGTTTGTATTACGAGGAATCTACAATTTTCATTAGAAAGCGGATTTTGTGGATATTATAATAACTTAATGTGCCACCACGGACGGCGGATACCGACTTAGTGGTCTAAAAGTTAGATGTTCGCGCGTGAGACTGAATATTTCTAGGTTCGAATCTCGTAGGGCGGGATCGTGGATGCGCACTACTTAGGTGTTTCATACTAGGACGAAACGGTCATCCAGTACTTCCAGGTTTTCCATAGTGGTCTAGCTTCAGTTTGACTCATGAATTGAACTATTTATTGTACAATTTGTGTAAAAATATCCCTTGTAAGCCTCGAAAATACCTAAAACAACATTTAATCTATTAACAGTATTTTTTGGTAAAGTTTCATAGAAATATAGAATTCAATACAGCATATTCTTTCTTTATTCATCTAGTGAAAACTCAAATCTATGATTGATTTTGATATTTTCCCATAAGTTTTTAAAGTCCAGCTGTCAGTGGCAACCTTACAAGTATCTGTTTTGTTTTTCTGATTACTTACTTGGTATAAACCAACACTGTACTGCCTGATAGTGAGTCTATTAACAATCTACACGTATGTGCCTATTACACAAAAAATCAAGTACCAATTTATGCAAAATGATTCAACCGGAGACACTTTGAAATTTTGCTAATTTAAAGATTGTCATTTCTAATTTAATGGAAAGTTAGATGAAAAGCGATAAGAAATAAAAAGCTGTAATATTAATGTGAGATTAATTGTGAGATAGGCCCAGGAAATTTCTAAAACACCCACCAGAAAAGTTGAGCTAATTCAAGTTAACTACTGATTTCATTTTAAGTAGCTTAAATAACACATATAATAAACTTCATGCTTCATACTGTCAAATGTTATGGTGATTCATCATAGCATATTTCAACAGACACAAAATTTTATTAATCATTCAATATTACCAAATCCTTATGAATAGAGAATTCATTAATGTTTAATTCGGTTTTGCAATTTGAATTGTAGTGTTTAATCGTGGTAATCAAATCAAATAACTCACTTTTCGGTCTGTTAAGATTTCTACCCAACGATTGATGACCATTAAATGTGCCAGAAGAAATTCGTGCTGAAGAAAAATCGAAAACAAACCGGTTAACAAATATATAAAACAATGAGATGGATTCGTTGAAGAGTAAAACAACTTAAGTTTTGTTATTAGAGATGATCTATGATCCCAATAATTTTAAGATTAAGAGATAAGTAGACAGATAATGAATAACAGAATAATTGTTAACGATAATCATTCGAATTCACTATCGATAAAGAGAATTATCAATCATTATTACTGGAATCCTAATTGCTGTTTTAGTTCTGGTCCCACTCATAGCTAATGATTCTGTTTAGAAAGACAATGATTTAATTCATGGCTCGACAATCCAGCTCAGAGAATGCAAACTACATTACTAAGTTATTTGAAGTACGGAGGTCTATGATAGATTAACACTGATGGTAATTAAGGCCTCTTAACACACATATCATAAGAGAATGATAGTTTACCAATGTTTTGTAACTATGCGAATTCTCAGAATTGTTATTATGATTTCTAAAATGCTTAAAAATCTAACAATTCCACTAGTTACTTAAGAAGGTAACCAAAGTATTTTTCTTAATGATAGTGACTAGAAATTACTGATTGTTATATCCCGACGAGAATAGTGGATGGCGACTGTTTGAATCTATTTATGGACTAATACTAAACGTATATTTTTATTGTATAATTATTAAGTAACTAAACTATTCATATTCATGTTCCTCTTATCATAAGCTTTATTTTGACTCATAGACTATTATTATAGGATTTACCGTTCTTGAATTATGCCCTGTCTATCAATTGCTACCTCCCACATTCACAGCCCCATTTGGCTAAATTTTGTACAAATGTTGTTTCCTACTTTATCGTACGATGTGGTCTGTGTGGTTGGTACATAAACTCAGTATGTTTGAAACACATGATTCATTTTGCAGAGGCTGAGATTGGTGTTCTGGACGCAACAGGTGGAAAGAGTGACCGACAAGGACTCTAGACTGCTCGTGAGGGTTTAATGCGTCATTGGTCCGGTCGATAAATCACGGTTTTATCAATTGGCATTATCATCAGGTTTATATATTAATAGGGGCAGAAAGTCAACAAGTTATAACACTGATGAATGTTATTGATAATAAGCAAAGGTGGATAGTAGCTAGCAGTGGAATCCAGGACGCGCGTTTCGTCCTGTTTGGGACTCGTCAGTTGGATGCACCTGGATGTACCAAGTGAATTCAAATTCACCGTATTGCACAAGAAAGTGACTATCAGGATTCAGTAGCTTAGTGGATGACGCGATGGCGTTTGAAGCGAATGGTACTGGGTTCGAGTCCCAGAGTGAACATCAACTCATGCAGGTACGTCCAGCTGATGAGTCCCGAACAAGACGAAACGCTCGTCCTGGATGTATTTGATATGTTTTTGAATTTCATAACATGTTGATCCAATAAAAACTGGTTCGCTGTTTAGAAATTCATTAAACCTACTATGGACCACTTCATAATTATATATTTGAATAATAACACTATTGGATGCTGACTTAGTGATCAACAAGTTAGTTGTCCGTGCCTAAGACTGAACATATTGTGCTCGATTCCCGCGTACGGAGTCGTACAATGTTTATCGTCGGGATCTAAAACTAGGATGAAATGACCATTCAGTGCTTCTAAGTTTCCAAAGGTGGTCTAACCTTGATTAATTCATGAGTATGGTAGAATAATGTGGACTGACGTATTTAGTAGATTCCCTTTAGTTGCTTGCTGTAGAGATTCCAAACAAATAAATCGTACTATAATAATCTGCTATGATTGTTTTTGAAAAAAAATTCCAATGCCTGTTACCCTTTATAGAACACAGAGTTCAGATCAAGAGCCTCCAACTTAGGCTGTTCTTGTTTCCAAGTACTATTCATTCTTTTGATGTTTGCCTTCAACTTCCAACGCAATGTGTCCTTATTTTAGAAAATTTATAATCATATGGTGAAGTTTAACACTTAATATATGGATGTATATGGGTTTATGCTGTAGTCATTTTACCAAACTTTGAAAAAGTCCTAAACACCTACTTTCTATGATATTTTCACTTAAAGGTTAGTGTAACTTGTAGATGGTACTATTCAATACGTTAAGGTCTTGCTATGAGATCTGAAAATCTTGGGTATAAACTCCAAGTGAGTAAGGAACAAACACTATTGGGGGATATCATAATAGAGTAAAAAGTAGCTTCCCATTGTTCCTCTAGCTTGGAATGATATTAAAACTGATGTCATTCTATACTCAACATATGAACCTGTCGAATGTTATGACAATGTAGGGACTGATACTATGTCAAGTTCATATAGGTTATTCAAGCCTATGGACAGACAATTTATTCATTCTTCTTAAGCCAACTTTTGACCTTGTCACTTATTAACCCTGACTGTTGTTATATGATCGTATGTCTGTTAGTTGCTTACCCTATTCATCATGTATCTAATTTATTTTTGAGTTACCCTTGATCAAATCGAGTTGTCTCATTCACCTTCTTTACTTCGCGTCATTTCGTTTCGCTTTATTCTATCCTCTTTGCTTTCTTCGCTTCATCTTGCTGATTGTCAGTTCAGATGAACGATTATATAAAATATACATACTCAAACATCATTCTCGTATTTGACTTATTTAATTCTGTAATTCACTAACCTGCTTTAAATTGATAACTATATACGAGGATTATTGGTAATGTATATTTTGATGATTTAACCGGAGTAAGATTTTGGGTTATTAAAACAGTTTATATTGTTAAAAATCATGGAGTGTTCAACGTCTATGACCTGTGAAGTTAACCATCCGTGAACAGTGCGTTTGTAAAAACGTTTATAAGTATCACCTAGGTTGAAGCTCGATAATTCATATCAATTATCGTCAACCACATTGCTTAAAAGTATGGTACACAAACTCTCAAATCACTTAAGTTATAGGTCAAATTACAAACTGATTTGTAGAATTCAACCATTATCAAAGACTAGGAACACATGACATTCTTTAATTGATCATTGTGTATATTTTAATCCTAGACGTCAATCATAAACGCATAACACAGAAGGTTTTAGACTAGCACCGTTTAACGTAGATTATAGTCTCATGAGGATATTAGTCCTTTCAAAATTTCAAACATTCTTCGATAATTATAAACAAGCAACATGAAATAATGATTCACCGTTTCCTGTCAATCATTTAGGGTTCAAATTCACTTTGCTAGTAACGTTCTTTAAAATAGATCAATTGTGAAAGATTCTCCGATACAATACAGAATGCACCAATCCAATTACAATTGACAGAGAAGATTTGGAAGATGTGAAAATCTTCACATATTTAAGCAGCATCATTAATGAACATGGTGGGTCTAATGCAGATGTGAAAGAGCGGATCGAAAAAGCAAGAGCAGTGTCTTTACAACTGAAGGACATCTGGAACTCAAAACAACTGTCAATCAACATCAAGGTCAGGATTTCAGGGAAAGAACAAACCAGATCCCAGCGGAGGAAGAAATTAGGAAGAAGCGCTGGAAGTGGATAGAACGCACCACAAGACAAGCCCTCACATGGAATCCTCAAAGCCAAAGGAAAATAGGAAGACCAAAGATCACATTACGCCGGGAAATGGAATTAGACATGAGAAAAATGAACACGAATTGGATGTAACTGAAAAAGAAGGTCCAGGACAGAGCGGGTTGGAGAATGCTGGTCAGCGGCCTATGCTCCATTGGGAGTAACAGATGTGAGTAAGTAAGTAAGTAAGTAAGTAAGTAAGTAAGTAAGTAAGTAAGTAAGTAAGTAAGTAAGTAAGTAAGTAAGTAAGTAAGTAAGTAAGTAAGTAAGTAAGTAAGTAAGTAAGTAAGTAAGTAAGTAAGTAAGTAAGTAAGTAAGTAAGTAAGTAAGTAAGTAAGTAAGTAAGTAAGTAAGTAAGTAAGTAAGTAAGTAAGTAAGTAAGTAAGTAAGTAAGTAAGTAAGTAAGTAAGTAAGTAAGTAAGTAAGTAAGTAAGTAAGTAAGTAAGTAAGTAAGTAAGTAAGTAAGTAAGTAAGTAAGTAAGTAAGTAAGTAAGTAAGTAAGTAAGTAAGTAAGTAAGTAAGTAAGTAAGTAAGTAAGTAAGTAAGTAAGTAAGTAAGTAAGTAAGTAAGTAAGTAAGTAAGTAAGTAAGTAAGTAAGTAAGTAAGTAAGTAAGTAAGTAAGTAAGTAAGTAAGTAAGTAAGTAAGTAAGTAAGTAAGTAAGTAAGTAAGTAAGTAAGTAAGTAAGTAAGTAAGTAAGTAAGTAAGTAAGTAAGTAAGTAAGTAAGTAAGTAAGTAAGTAAGTAAGTAAGTAAGTAAGTAAGTAAGTAAGTAAGTAAGTAAGTAAGTAAGTAAGTAAGTAAGTAAGTAAGTAAGTAAGTAAGTAAGTAAGTAAGTAAGTAAGTAAGTAAGTAAGTAAGTAAGTAAGTAAGTAAGTAAGTAAGTAAGTAAGTAAGTAAGTAAGTAAGTAAGTAAGTAAGTAAGTAAGTAAGTAAGTAAGTAAGTAAGTAAGTAAGTAAGTAAGTAAGTAAGTAAGTAAGTAAGTAAGTAAGTAAGTAAGTAAGTAAGTAAGTAAGTAAGTAAGTAAGTAAGTAAGTAAGTAAGTAAGTAAGTAAGTAAGTAAGTAAGTAAGTAAGTAAGTAAGTAAGTAAGTAAGTAAGTAAGTAAGTAAGTAAGTAAGTAAGTAAGTAAGTAAGTAAGTAAGTAAGTAAGTAAGTAAGTAAGTAAGTAAGTAAGTAAGTAAGTAAGTAAGTAAGTAAGTAAGTAAGTAAGTAAGTAAGTAAGTAAGTAAGTAAGTAAGTAAGTAAGTAAGTAAGTAAGTAAGTAAGTAAGTAAGTAAGTAAGTAAGTAAGTAAGTAAGTAAGTAAGTAAGTAAGTAAGTAAGTAAGTAAGTAAGTAAGTAAGTAAGTAAGTAAGTAAGTAAGTAAGTAAGTAAGTAAGTAAGTAAGTAAGTAAGTAAGTAAGTAAGTAAGTAAGTAAGTAAGTAAGTAAGTAAGTAAGTAAGTAAGTAAGTAAGTA